TTAAAGAGGTCATTTTTCGATTTTACCAATAGTTATTTAATGCCCCGGTAAAAACCACCGAAAAATTACGAAAAGCTACTAAAAATTGGATTTTAATTTCTAAAGCTTTGTTTATTACCATAGAAACGAATAAAAAATAATAATATTAATTCAACTTATATGATATAATAATTAATGACATATAAAAATCCAGACTGAAAAAACGTCTCCGCTCAGAATCGTTTTTCTTAAACAAAGATAGAATATCATTGAATTCAAGTTTAATACAATCTATTATACAATGAAACACTTGTAACCTACTGTACAGCAGAGAGACATCCACTTGCCCTCTATTTTTTATTGTTGATTTGTATTTCTATAGCAAAAAGCAAAGCTTTAACAAAATAAGTCTCTCGAAAATCGGTTAAAAAAAATTGTACCCAATGTCCTAATAAACATAATCCATGTTAATAAACAGGCGGTGTAAAAGTAAAATTACATAATATAGACAGACTATAATGTCGGATATATGATTTAGTTTTACAAATAGTGTTTTTAACATTGATTTTTATACGAATTACCATATTGTTACGAACAACTCATACGAACAATATTATACTCTACTCATTCTACTCTGATTTTTAATTACCCATTGAGCTATTTTATTTTATGATTTATTACCTACGTGAAATGATGACAAATCCTTATAGGCGAAACTTGTGCAACGCTATAATGCTGTATTACAGTAGCACCAATATATAATAGGCAGGTACCTATATAACATTCCATGGTTATAGCCGAGTGTAAAAATACACCATAATAATAACACGGGACGAGTAATGAAAAATATTGTTTAAGTACTTTCGATCAGAGTTGCGAGAAAACGATTTATAATAGTCTGTGCGATACAAACGTATGAAAATCGTACCATTGAATATATCCATTATTAAACATCAAGTTGTCTCTCAAAACATCCGTCACAATTAGTTATATACCTAATAATATGACAAACGTTAAAATAGTTTTAGTATTTGAAAATATGCAGACGTGTCTTCGTATATTAAATTGTTTTATTATAATAAAAATGCAAAACGTCCGCCGAACAAAAGAGTATTTGCACAGCAATAGGAAACCGGTTTTATCCTGCTACAACTCGCTGTCCAAAAGAAGAAGTAGACGTAGAAGAAACAGAAGGAGAAGAAGAAGAAAGAGACGTAATATTATAAATATGGGTATTAGAATGGAGTAACGAAGAAATCGATCAAACGTATACCTACCAAAGATAAAATAAAAATGTAAACGGTTCCGCACCCAACTTAGTTCTACCTAAATCATAATGATTAATTAAAATTAAAAATTAACTTGAATTCAGATAACAGACATTCATCAATTATATGATATTTAAATAGTATAACAGTGTTATTAATGTCAGAAGTACATTATTACTAAGTATAGGCCAATTGAACCAAATAACTGTAATAGTAATGAAAACACATTTTTGAATAACTTGTTTAAGAAAATCTCATGTTTGACCAAAAAAATAAAAGTGAAATAAATATATTACAAAACAGGTGATTAAAAAAAAAAAATAAAGACTGGATTAGTTGGACATTGTTGCATTAAAATTGTGTAAGCATGATCAATGGGTATTTGTTATGAAATGATTATAATAATTTAAAATTTAATACAAAGTTATGAAATGAAAAAAAGATAATGGGTGAAAAATTATTACACTTTCAGAATTTTAATACGAGTATAAAAAACACATATTTGTGACACATGTATATTTTATATATAGCCAATCAAAAATTACAAACAAAAAATCAGTGGTAGGTAATTACCATGTCATGATAATAATTCCTGTGACCATATGTTATTACTTGTTACACACCGTTTGGGTATAATGCAAAATATTAAGTCGATAAGGGCCAAAGAGGAGGCAAAGTAAACAATTTCCCGTAAGCCCAAGAAAAACTCGGCCGGAAAATTAAATTAAATTTGAGTATCTATCAACATGTTTTAAGTTGAAAAAAACTATTTGATTTAGTTATTATGCAGATATTTTTTCAGTTGTATTGCCATTCAGTACATCAATTATTACGTTATATTGACTCTTTTATATCACATATTATGGAGCATGACACATGTCAATCGTATTAAATACACTAAACAATATTATTAAGTAATACAAAATATTAAAAACAAAAAAAATGTAACTAATTATATTGTGTTTACAAATTATAATTGAAATACCTATTCAAATTTTTTTTTTGTCCATAATAAGTTAAATAATTAATTAGTTTATTTTTTTCTGGTGAATTTTCCTAAAATTTTCTGTCATAAGAACCCTGTCCTGACAATTACGAATGCAACAAAAAAACAATCAGCCAAATCGGTCCAGCCGTTCTCAATTGATGAATTAAGATACATTTTTGACACCATTTTTATATATATAGACGACGAATAAAATAAAATTGAGAATAATAGATCACTTGTAAGAGTATTTGGTATAACCTTGCGAAAAAAAATTGGAAAAATAATGTCGTCACAAAATGGTAACATATATATATATATAAGAAAATTAGCTTTGTTTTTTAATTTTTCAAGAACTTTACACTTATTTTTTATTAACAAAAGTGGTACTAAAACCTTCAGCAGACTTTCAGACTATAACAGTAAAAAATTTCAGCCAAATCTGTTCAGTAGTTAGAGCGGTCGTACAATACCCCTTTCAATTGTTTATAGTAGTATAGATATAGATAGGTAATTATAGTTTTTGTATTACATGGAAGTTATAGAACATAATATTAACGTTAAATCAATTATGTAATTACTTATGGATATTTTAAAAATGGATGAAAGGGCCTTGTAAGTTGGTACTAAATTGTAGGCCTTTAGTGTAAATGTGCTTATGACCTAGCCCATAGGGTCCTAATAGCAACTATCAGGTTCTTAATCAGCAAACAATATTATTATAATTATGTAGTAAATTATAAAATTAATATCACATTTTTTTTTTTTAAAGCAAAAATAATGAAGGCTATGAAAAGTTAAATAGATACGATAGAAGAAATGAAAAGTTTTCATTCAAAACTTAACGATAATACTATAGAGTCAATTTATTATAAATAATTAATTAATTGATTTTAACACTACACTCGTTAAGCGTTATATGACTCTTTGACTACAATTTGTTTAAAAAATTAAGTTTCAAACATCGATAGTTGAAATAAGTACATCGGTACAAGCTATTACTCAACTTTTCAATTTAATTATTTTCGTACCTATTTAAGTAGATATTATACCTACTTATATTGGAGATGACAATGGTCAATGGATGCATTTACATCACAGACATGTGGGTTTATTATATAAAATGATATATAATATATACGATTATATAATATCTTTATCACTTAATAAATAATAATAATATATTTGTTATGGATATATATTATACATTTTGTGTACTACACGACTACGTTGTTATAATATATTAAGCTAATTACACATAATTATTAATGTTAAATGCTAACCATTATTGTTATGTTGGTTATTCGATTATTACAATTTGGCAATATACTTGAAACTTCGTTACCATGAAGGCGTATGGAACCATAAACTATAATGTATGCTATTTATTTGGTACACCTACACAATTCGACCGGTTTTAAAAATATTTTCTTATACACTTATATTTATTCATACCACTTCAACGTAGATCCAGAATAATATAACAACTTATTAAACAAAATAATAATATGAACTTTTTCCTTGACCAAATTCGCTCTAAAATTATTAACATTTTGATTGTAATTTATTGTAAATAGTTTAAAGTTAAATCATATATTTTATAAATATCCAATCAAATTATCAAATCAAAAAATCATGAATAGGTACTAATTTATGTAAAGTTAAGTCAATATCCAATAAAGTAATTTTAATTATGAGAATGTTAAGTATTGCTGTTCAATTTTTACAGCTATTACATAATAGTATTATACCTATACCATAGAAATCTATTATTTTATATTTATGGATAATTTAAGCTATACAGAAAAGTGTTTTGGCTAAATGAATGCAATAATAAATAATGTTAGATGGGGGTAAGCTAATAATTTAGTAACTATACTTATTATATTAATTTAATATGAATAGAAATATAAAAATTCGTCGACTAAAATATTAAAGCGATTATGTTTGAAAAAAACTATAAATATTTTTTAAGTTAATATAAAATTAATATGAAATAGTTAATATAAAATTTAAGTTATTGCTGAATATTATTATATCTGATAATATTTATTTACAATATTTGAGAATCATCTTATACATTATTCTAAAGTAGGTGTAATAGTAGCATATTATATTTTAGACAGAAAATTATAACACTCACAGATTATACGTAAACACTTCATTTTGAAAAATGTCAGTCGACAAAATGTATTAAATTTAATGCATAAGAAATATGTGTAGCGGACGACCTGTTGTCAATTATTCCATATTACAATGTTCTTTTGGTATGGAGGTACATATTCTACAATAATATTTTAATGACGAGGGAGCAAATGCAAAAAGATTAAGTGTGCGGATTAGATGAGAATACGCTGCAAGGTACCCGGTGTGTGAAAGGGGATATGGTTGTAGTGTTCGAAGGTCGACGAGGCCACCGATCCTTCGGAGTCCATAGCTGTGCACCCTTGACTTAGCGTAAACAACCGGTTTACTGTACGAGATGAGCGAAAAACGCGAAAAAAAATAGATTTATATATATAAAAAAAAAAATCATAATAAAAAACACTGATAAAACGGCGGTTGAACGAAGATCGACAATTTATTGGTGGGAGGAGCTAGTCGCGGTTAGAGTTCGAAAAAAATTCTCCCATCCCGGATTACTGGTTTTCGACAACAATTTTGCTGGATACTGTCCAAGAAGAAGCGCAGATATATATAGTAAAGGCTGGTGTTCAACAAGGTATCCAGTCAATCAGTCGCTGGATTCAAGAGAACTAACAACAATCATGGCTCCACGTGCTATGGTGAGTTTGAACATACTATTATTTCTATAATTATATTCTTATAGTACCTACACTTCTATTTGAATAAAATTGTTTTTTAACTAAATATTACTGCTATTTTTTTTTTTTAAACATACAATGCGACTATCCGTTTTTATATTATATTTGTCTAAAATATTTTCGGTCAATGAAAAAGAAAATCATAAATATAAATTCAACAAATAATTTTAATTCTTAAGCCCCAACATCGTCCAAAAGTTAAATTATATTTTTAAAATTAAGTTTAATTGAATAGGTATTTATTTTAGAATGAAAATGTGTTATTTATATGGATCCAATAACCGTTGGATGATTATTTGATGATAGGAGCTTGTTAACATATTAATTTATTTAAGAAATAAAATAAGAAATCGTTTTTGTTTCATCAGTATAGTATAGTATAAATTAAGTACCTATATGTACTAATTCGAAAAAATAGTTACGGAAACATTTTTTTCTTTGTTTACTAAATAAAAATATTTATACATCACGAGTTATACAATATTAGATAATATTAATCGTTTCTTCGGCAATTTATTTTTTATATTTTACTGATTTATTTTTTATCAAATAAGTTTGCTAATTATATGTTTATAAATTACTAATTTATTTAATTATAATTGATTATCTTATTAAATACTATTAAATTTAGTTTATTTAATTTATATTTTTTAGATAAATAATATTCAATTTAGGTACCACTTTTTAAATTTATTTAAATTATATTTATATAGTACATTTCTCAACCATTTTATCACAGTATACCATTATCTACCGTTCATTTAAACTTTAATATTTAACTTCAGTACTTAGACTCAAGTGAAATTATCTAACAAGTTATGTCTTAAGACTAGATTAATTTATATTAACCTTCCTAATAAAAACTTACAAAGAAACTACTTAATTATTAATTATCAAAATAATAATATTATCACACACAATACACAGCAGTTAATTTACTAAGTTTATTGAGTTGTTATTAATTTAATCTTCAACATTTTTATTTTTATTAAGTTTTTATAATAATTATTATCATATGTGAACGTAACCAATTAAAATTAATCCAATTGAATACAATATTTTTCTAAGCTATTGGATCCTTATATTGTTCCATAAGTACTCAAAAAATAATTATTAGAAATTGATTAATAATTAGTTTTATAAGCAATTAAAATATTATTATTTCATACTTCACAATATAATTAGCATTATTTAAAAATTTATTTTTTTATTAAACAATTTTTTAATTGGTGAAAAAAATGAAAAATTGGAAAAATTTTTCTATAAAATATTTGACCATAATATTTTGTTTTGATTTTTACCGTAAAATTATATTTTTAATGAAAGTTTTTGGTTAACTTGCTCTTAAAATGCTTATGAAGAATCCACTTTGTATAATACAAAATTAATGTGAATATTTCATACAGTTGTAATTTGTTATTTAAATATAAAAAAAATATTTCATATTTGAAATTACTATGAGATCTTATAGGAAGAATATAAATAAATAACAAATTAGAAATGGTAAACATAGGATCTGTAAGCTCCGAGGTTAAAAATATAAATCTTGTGAAACCATCGTAACACCAAGTCAGTTTCAAAATACACTTATTATAAACTAACTATTGTTAGTAATATTATACTTTAATCTGTTTTATATTTAAATCGAATGTGTGTAATATTCTAAAATGTAATAGACTTTCCACTAGTGTATCAAATAATGTAAACCAATCATTTGATTTAAACTAAAAAAGTTATATTTTTTCCAGATTCAAGCAGCTTTCCTAGGACTCCTAGTTGTGTCCACAGCATTTGCTGAAAAACTTGACACACTCACTAGCACTGAGAAAACAGACTCCCTCGCTGTGAAAGGTGCATTCGCGTCTGCTTCTGAGAAGGCCAACTTCCCTTTCGCTAACCCAGCTGGATTCGCATTCGGAGCCAAGAGCTTTGGACCATCAACCCCAGCTCCATTCGCATTCGACAGCTCGTTCTCAACGACCGCTGCACCGTTCAAGTCCGTTTCTTACAGCTCTACACCAGCTCCGTTCGCGTTCGGCAACTCTTTCGGAAACTCTTTCGGCAACTCCTTCGGCAACTCTTTTGCGCCGAATGCCTACTCCAACGCTGCCGCAGCTCAGTCCTTCGACGCTGCTTCGTTCGTTGGATCATCCACACCAGCTCCATTCTACGATGGCTCTTTCGGTTCATCTACCCCAGCAGCTTTAATCGGATCATCGACTCCAGCACCTTTCGTGTCTGGCGCCGCCGTCTCCGGTGCTGCATTATCCGACGCGAGCTTTGGGTATTCTTCCACCCCCTCAGTTTTAGTGGGCGGAGCTTCACCAGTTGTGTCATCCACCCCAGAACCAGTCCTTCTGAACAGATCACCAGCTTTCTCTACGTCATACGGTTCATACTACTCGGGAGCTTATGCTCCGTCATACTCTCAAGGCGCAATCGTCAAGTCTGACGCCATTAGCCATGATGCAGTTGAAGTACCAGCAGTAGCTAACGCCCCTACACCTCATCACGAAGTTACCATCACTAAAGAAGTTCCGGTTCCATACTACGTCCAAGTTGAAAAGAGAGTTCCATACCCTGTGTTGGTCCGCATTCCACACCCATACCCAGTTACAGTAGAAAAACATGTGCCATACGCCGTTAAAGTCAATGTGGACCGTCCAATTCACGTTCCCCAACCATACCCAGTAGAAATCGAAAAGAGAGTACCGTACCCAGTTGAAAAGCCCGTGCCTTATGAAGTCAAGGTTCCGGTCGACAGACCATACGCAGTCCATGTTCCATTCGAGAAACCCGTGCCATACGCAGTTGAGAAGCCAGTGCCGTACCCAGTGCGAGTAAATGTTGACAGGCCATACCCCGTAGAAAAGCCAGTACCATACCCATACCCCGTCGAAAAACCAGTTCCATACCCAGTGGAGAAGGCCGTGCCATACCCAGTAGAAAAATTGGTGCCATACGCAGTTGAAAAGAAGGTTCCATACCCAGTCAGGTACGATGTACCAGTCAAAGTACCAGTTCCAGTGGAAGTCAGAGTACCAGTGTCTGTGGACAGACCAGTGCCATATCCAGTAGAAAAGAAGGTTCCATACCCAGTCCAAGTTCCAGTTGAAGTCAAGGTCCCAGTTCCAGTTGCAGCCCCAGCTCAACGTTTCGCTACAGTGCACTACTACCAACAATCTCCCGTTGGTTTGGGATACGAATCCAGTCAAGCTTTTGCTGGCCAATCCGGTTACAAAGCTTTTGCTGCACAATCTAACGACGGTGTACCAAACTTCTACTACAACACACCCTCCAACGCCGTTATTCTTAACAACCAAAACTTGAAAACACCCGAACAGTTGGCTTTGACCGGCACCAAATTCTCGTACGGTACATCTGGTTCGGCTCCAGCTTTTGACAGTGCATCCGCATATGCAGGATTTGCTTCAGGAAGTGCTTCTGGATTCGCTCCAGCCTCTGGAAGTTCATTCTACAGCTCTACTCCAGCTACCGGAAGTGCTTTCTACAGCTCTACAGCTAGCCCAATCAGCTCATACAGCTCGACTGGCAGTTCATCTGGACTCTTCGGCTCAAACTTTGCCCAAGACGGTTTCAGTAGCACATCAGCTCCATTCGGATTTGGCCAACAATCTTTCTTCGGATCATCAACACCTGCTCCGTTCAACTCTTTCTCCGCTGGCTCAGTTGATTCGTCATCTCTATTCAAGTCATCCAACTTCGGATCCGCCGGACAAGAAGCAGTTGCCATTGGAGGTACATCCGCCAAGGTCCAAGAAAAGGTAGAGTCAAAAACTGAAGACTCAAATGTTGTAAAGAAATAGATTTTCTATGTTTCAATTATATGAAATGTGCACTTTCACCTCTTTAAAAAGCTACTGAATAATAGAAATATTTTCAAATATATATATAATATATATATTTTTTAAAATATTTTCTATAATTATGAATAATTTTACCACACGTTTTATAAGTTAAGAATACATTCATTTGTAATATTATAAATAAATAAAAATGATGAGCATTAAGTATACTATGTTTTTGTTTTATATTTCAATGACGTCATTACTGACGACAGCTAGGTACGTAAAAAGAAAACGGATAGAGCGCGTAATAAAGAAATGGTACATAGAGAGAGGAAAATATACTTATGATTACTAGCCAATACCACCAAAAAAATGTAGTATACCAATGTACAGACTAGATAGTTACTACCATAAATGGAGGGGAAATTGTAAACAATATTTTTTGATATATTAAGAAAAACAGTATGAAATACTACATAGTCTGGATGTGCATTAAACATAATTAGACGTTCGTGAAAAGTCGATCTCTTTGAGGCAGTTTCAGTTCGCGGTACCTGTAAATGTTTCTTTGATAATGTTTTTTTACAATCTAACTTGAAAAAGGACACTGTGATAAAATATTTTATCAGTTATACTATTGTTTATTATAATATAAACGGGAATATTTTATCGCTCAATGGAAGTAAGTACATACTTTATAGTATAATATTATTTTTAATAAAAATTACTTTATTATACAAATAGGAATGTATATAATATTATCAAATACTTAAAACTAAACTATTAATCAAGGCAATTACTTATATTTATTTATAAAATACAAATAATTTCATGAAGTAACTTTGGTGTCGAACTATCATGTATTGTTTCAAAAAAAAAAAAAAAAAGCTAAACTTAAATTAATGGAGTATAATGGGTAACTAATTCATAGTAAATTGTATTCAATTAATTGTATTCCTACTTAAAATATTTATATTCAACTACACCGCAATGATATGGGATTTTTAAAGTTTTAAAATAATTACCTAGTTATTTCTTTTAATAAAAAAAATAATAACTTGATACAATAGATAATGGTATATTAATATGTTATGATTTATAAATGGCAAATAACGTTATATATTAATATATATTAATATTGTATATTAATACGATGTATATTAATATTAATACACTAAACATATATACCTACCTAGCTTTAAAAATAATTCGATTAGAACTAAGACTAACAACTAACATATTATATTTACAATTATTACATTCATTTCAACCTTTTTTAATTACTTCAACAATATACGCTAAACGTATTTTTATCAATATTATTTGCAAAACGTCATGTTTAAATTAAAGTCTGTTAAGATTAAATAAAGTAAATTATATCAATTGATATACATTTAAAAATAGTTTTAAATTTAATAACGTAGAACATTTATAATACATTAATATTCAAAAATAATATTATTAGTTCAGATTTATAAGCAATACACATTAATCGACACTTCATAAACATTTATGTTCCACTAGTTTTGCATAACAATTTTATTTTAAACAAATTATTTCTCATTTAAAAAAATAAATAATAATTTAAAATGATTATTTTATTGGTATACATTTCAAACTTATATAAAATAATAATATTATTATTTATTGTGTCATTTAATAATAGTTTCAAGGTACTAGCTGCAGATAGTTTGAAATTAATCTAAATATTTAATAATAATATAGATGTGGTAAAAAGTTACTGGTTAAGTCCCAAGTTCCAAATCCCCTACAATTTAATTTGCAAAAGTCCGTGGATATTCAATATTTGTCAAATTATAAAAATTAAACGTTTTTAAAAATGTTGTTAACTATGCAATTAGTTCAAATTTAATTTCTATAATAGCTACAACTTATAAAAAATCTTGTTTTAAATTATGAAGATTTTTGACGAAGACTAACTACATACAAAAACAAAAATATTCAATTATTCTAAATGCCTATTAACAGCATATAAACTCATTAAAACATTTAATATCATTGCATATAGAAAATCATAATTATTTAAAAAATAGTGGAATTTTTCAATTTTTCAAGATTAATATTTTTTATTTACAAAAAAAAAACAAAAAACGTTTGATAATAAATCGTCGTTTTATATTTATTTTATCAAAATCTAGTTTTTCGCCAATATTCCCATATTTCCCTAATTTTTTTTCTAAAGATTATTTTAAAAAGTATTTGTAGTTTTTAGTTTTAACTCCAAAGTATTAACCAGGTCCAATTTTATACAATAAACTATCTTCAATGTTCAAGATTTAATTTAACAATTCAAAAATTACTAGTTCAAATTTTGATTTATATGCATAACTTTTTTTAAAAATCCTCTGTTTAACAATCTACACCAAATTATAGTTTAAAAAAAAAAAGTCAGTATTATCATGGGATACTCCTAAAATTGAAAAAAAAATGTTGAATATCAGAAAAATGGCTATAATACACAAAAGTTATTAGGTATATAGTTAATAATTATATTTACTATTTTTATAAACTTAATACAATTACTTAATAATATGGTTTTTTAATATTATTAAAAATTCTAAAAAACAGAATTAAATAAGCATTATTAATGAATAAAACCCCCTGTATGTATTTTTATACATCCTTTAAAAATTATAATTTATAGATATTTTCACAATTTTAGGAGTTTCCCCTAGACTCTAGAGCAGCTTACTCTTTTTTTCATCAAATAGGATCCACATTTTTCTACTGTAAATCTTTAAACCGAAGATTTTTTATTGAAATGTTGATACATAAAATCGAAATTTGAATGATTTGATTCTGAGTTATTAATCTTAATTCACAAAGGATAGTGTTATTAGTTTACATAAAATATAAAATAATACAAATTAAAAAAATGTAGTTAATTAATATTAATAAATATAATTTTCAAATCATAAAAGCCTCGGCCCATAGTAAATTCTAAAACTATAGTCATAGATTATTAATTTATTATCCTTAGCACTTTATAAATATATATTATGTCGACAGAAATAGTGTCCTCAAAAATACTACAATATTTTATGACATAAAATAAAATATACATTATTGTATTATTTTTTATTATTATAACTTTGATTATTATTATTTTAAAAAAATACCGTTATTATGATATGGCCAATGTGGGGGAGAGGTCGCCTCTACGGAGTGTAAATCTCCCTTTGATCCTTTGAGTGGTATAAATGTATAATTTATTCGTTCGATAAATATCTGAAAGGCCCACCATCTTTACGGATTCACGAATAGTATTTGTTAAGTTACATTATTACTGATGTTACGTACGATCAATTATTATAATATATTATGTTTTATTTTATAATATATAAATAGTTAAAATGTCTATGGACCAGCAAAAAAATAAATTCTTATTAAAAACTTAATACTTATTTAAAAATAATAATCTTATTAATATAAAAATGTGATTTTCAGAAACAAAAATGGTTATTCTTAACGTTGTTATTGACCTATGCGTTAGCCGAGCACGGCAAAAAGTCATCTAATAGTAAACAGATCGATAATGCAGAAGAGTCTACAGAATCAAAACCACCAGAAAAACGTGGTTTAAACAATGTGCTCGGATATGGCCGAGGAACTAATTCACATTCGTCGCCAGAAAGTTCGGACTATTCGGGGTATACGTTTGGTAATAACAATGGTCGAGATGGAAACGAAGGGGATAGTGAACAGCTATCTGCTAACAATGAAAACCACAACACTGGTAATAACGGTTTCAGCCACTTCTTTTACGAAAGGGGCGTCCCCGATAACGGAGGCAATGCACAGGGGTCCAATACAGGTCATGATGACCATCATAGCTCAATAGGTGGAAGAAATGCCAACCATGGTTGGATGGCCAGTTTCTTTAACAACGAAGGGAAACCTGACATTGGCAGAGGGCACTTTTTCACTCCAGGTAATTCCGGCGGCGGTGATCAACATGGCTTTGGTGGATCACAGCAAACATTTCAAGGATACGGAAGTGGCGGAGAAAATGTCAATGCACATGAATCAACCAACAACGACGGTTATAGGAGCAACATCGGCGGTTATGGAGGAGGTGGTTTTGGGGGCGGCGGACACGGAGGAGGTGGCGGTCATGGAGGCGGAGGCGGGCATGGAGGAGGAGGTGGATACGGAGGAGGTGGACATGGAGGTGGAGGATTTGGAGCAGGTGGATTTGGATCAGGCGGTCATGGCCACGGATATGGAGGACACGTCAGGACAGTGTATGTGACAAAAGAAGTGCCAGTTCCGTATCCAGTTCACGTTGAAAAAAAAGTTCTCTACCCCGTCCGAGTACCCTACGAAAAACCAGTGCCTTATCCAGTCCACAGACCATATCCGGTGCACATTGAGAAACAAGTGCCCTACCCGGTCAGGGTACATGTACCGCAACCATACCCTGTAACGGTGGAGAAACACGTACCGTTTCCGGTAAAAGTTCACGTGGAGAAGCCTGTGGCGGTGCACATACCAAGGCCTTATCCAGTATACATCGAGAAAAAAGTACCAGTAGCTGTAGACCATCCAGTCCCGTATCCAGTGAAAATACCTATAGACCGTCCCGTGCCCATACACATACCGGTAGATAAGCCAATACCGTATCCAGTGGAAAGGAAAATACCATATCCGGTCAAAGTACCGGTTGACAGACCGTATCCGGTTCACGTACCCAAACCATATCCCGTGCACGTTGACAGGCCTGTACCGTATGCGGTCAAAGTTCCGGTCAAAGTACCCGTCAAAGTGCCAGTTCCTTACCCAGTGGAAGTTAAAGTCCCAGTTCACATACCGGTGCACACCCAATCGCAGCATGGTTACGGTAACGAGCCGACAAAATACAACCATCAACAACAACAACAACAACAACAACAACAACCACACCATGACTCGTATAGGCAAGGTGGGCTACTAAATCAAGAGAGTTCGTCGGACACTACCGGATTCGGTACCGCATTCGTAAACAATTACGATAACGGTTTTACCTCGTTCGGCAGTGGCCAAGATCAAGGGACGCCAGACGCCTATGGTGGTAATGAAGACTACGGATCTTCACATGGATGATTCGTGTGAAATTTAACAATTTATATACCATAGTAAGTGACATTTGCTGCCATTTTATCGAGCTCATTGCGCTCGACGCAATCGAGCATATTTTAGACTTGTATAACACTGTAATAGTAATAATAGTAGGTACATACTAAACATACCAATAAAAATAATATTTGTACGCATTATTGTCATATCAGTTGTACATTTTACTATAATATTATAATAGTCTTTAGCATAATAATTGAATAGTAATAATATTCTGTAGATATAGTCACATAATATTGTCAATACGTCCTATTATAAGCCCTATTATAAGTTATAATATTATCAATGCGTTCAAATGTCCACAATATCACCCCAACCTTGAATTTCCCAAAGGTTTGCTCTAGAAATATATTTCGATTGCGCGACTCGACGGTTTTCAATATTCCGAATCGTATACCTACAGATACAATATTAACGTGGAAAAAAAATTGGTAAATTGAAAAGTCTGTATAGGCGCAACGCGACAAATAATAATATGTGGATGTCAGTCGGTCTGTTCCGGCGGCGTGTAAAATGAGCTCCATTATTTATTTAGCAATCCCCGCACACGCAATCCCGCGTATCCGTGTTTTCCTATTTGCAGTACCGGTGTTACAGAGACGCAGATCGCGAAAAATGCCAGAAGACCAATTACTGATTATTTCGGTTGTTATAACATTTTTTTGAAAACTGAAATGAATTCCGCTTTCGTTTCCCGTCCGGTGTCGCCGAGTGTACACGCGTATTTTAACAATACAACGAAAACGACGACATACCGAATTATAGAAGAAGAAACCGAAACCGTCCGTTTCCGTATGCGGTTTTCCCCCCGACTGCCAGAATATATAACGACCACCTGTACATGTATAGCGCATATACCGACAAAACCGTCACCTGTTGACAAAACTATACGGTATAGTTCTACCTATATTAAATAGGTATTTGATATTCGCAAATACATTATGATATTGTTATATTATGTTCATTATTATTGTTATTATTATGATTACGAAATGATCGCATTGAGCGACAGGTATTGTCGACGTTATATATAGTGAAACTACGCAGCGAAAATACGAAATACCGTAACCGTGTTATAATATAAAATACAGGTATACTTAATCGTGTAAGTGTAACTACCATTTGAAATTATACACATATGGGTACTTACCCAATGTAAGGAATGTTGGCGGGCACGTGATATTTTGATCCCGGATCGAAATCTGTTTCGGACCGGAGTACTGGAGGCTTGACACCGCCAAGTCGTTCTCTAAATAATAAAAAACACCACACTGTCAATTTTTAAAATTATTTTTTATAGTCTGAAATATAAAAACGATAATAAATATAGAATATGGATTGTTGTTAAAACAAGACAGTTTGATAAATTATATAGGTATCTAATGTATAATATTGTTATATTGTTTTTTTTTTTTTTTAATCGAATATAGTTTTTAATAGTATTTTAGTTCTAAGATAATCGATATTGATCAATACCTAAGTATTTTGTATACTTAAAATACATTTAAAAAAAACACTTTTCTAAAAAACAAAAAAATAATGAAAAATTTAAAAGTGTGTGGTATAATATGTCAAGTGTAAGAGCGCCACACACTTTTAAATTTTTCATTATTTTTTTGTTTTTTTAGAAAAGTGTTTTTTAAAAGAAATTTTTTAATTTTTTATTTTCTACTTTTTAGTTAAACAATTTTTTTTACGGATTATTGTATTGTCATCCAAGACCAAGGTCTATACCAATTTTCAGAATTTTTCATCTTCAAAAAGTGCCTCAAATCGAGCGCGCAAGATTTGATCACAGACAGACGTGAAACCAAACTTAAGAAAAGTGTTAAAAATATGATTATTCTTTCAAAAAATATATTTTAATAATTTTCCTAATCATTGTTATATTATTATACCCACTAATTTAAAATAACTTCTTAGAGTCTTATACCGTATCACATACCAACATATATGTAAAGCCATTTATTTATCTTTAATTAAGAGAAAAAATACATAATACTGCTTAAGACCATAATAATTCATATTCTATTTGTAGTTTACTTACCAACATTTAACTTTAACACGGATTACATTGTAATTTAAATATAGACAATCAGTCATCACAGATTATAACATTATTATCATGCTTTTGACATTTTTACATAATTAATTTTTTTTTTATAAACACAATAAAAACGTAGTGATTAGTATCATATTATACAAAATTATTTGATTTTTCTGATGGTTAAATAATATCAGCTTACATAAACTACAGCTGACAGCTGCTAGTTGCTACCTACCACATTGATATTAAAAATGTATACAGAGTAAAAATAAATATGAAACTGAATGTGTCAATAATTATTGTCCATTTGTAATTTGAATTATGAATACATGTAGAATAAAATATTTTAAACTTCCTGATTATCTACAGATAGTACTAGCATTTAATAAAATGTTTGTATAATATAGCTTAACAGATTATAAAAATATAATCTAAACGTAATAATATGTTTACATTATAATTTTTTTTTTTTATTAGGTTTTTTTAAAGCTTCGACAACTGAGGTCATTAGCCTGCATATATATTATAGATAATTATATAGTAATTAGTATATATTAAATGTGTACTTTATATTACTATAATAATATGATATAGTCGGTACTATATCTCCATAACATACTATATCATACTTTATAAGTACACAAACTATAGTCATTGTTCATATCAAACATTTTAAGTTAACAAAAATAGATTTCGAACTTGTATACCTACCTATTGTAATTAATATTATTTTAAAATAAACGTTTGAGAATGAAATTTAAATTGCATATAATATAGTTAGATTTTAAAATGAATAAATTATCAACTACCTACCTACCTATATTCTAACCTTGACATTTATATTTAACTTGATAAAAATATTTCATGTGAATTAGAATTTGAAATTATCATTGATGGAAATATTCTAATGAATCTTTCTATACAATAAATTAAGGTTAAGTATTATATTATATTTCACAAAGACATATTATAATCGAATATAGGTACTACTGTACTAGGTAGTAAGGTAAGCATATATAATATTATGTAAAGTCATATTTTGGAGTAATGAGAATGGCTATACTTTTACCTACAATCTACATCTTAGTTATTATTTTGAAATGTAGCCGTTTATAAATGTATAATATTAGATACCTACTTATTTTCATATGGTAAATAGGTACCTATAAAAAACTAATAGCTTTTCTACTCATGTCAAAATCATAATATATTGTTAGCTTTAAACATTTATTCATTTTTAACTATTTGTAAGCCAATTATTAAAATTAACCTTTGTATAGGTTGTATATTTTATATATTTTACTTAACATCATCAATATGAACAGAATTTCCAGTTTCTGAAATTCGATTATAAACAATATTAGGTACCAAGGTCGTTCATATTTATTATATATTAATACAAATAATAATAATGGGTAAAATAATAGTATAAGTATTTTTATGCCATATGGCTATATGAAAATAATATTGACACATTATATTTTATTCTAACGAAAGTAGTTTAATTGTAAAATAGGTATCTATCAAGCAATCAAGGACAGTGTAACACTGCAATATTGTATAAATTATATCAACAGACAAACACATAAACTGTAGCCAGTAAAAATGTACAAATTAAGAACGGCAACGGACAACATTTTCAGGAATAAATGTCAAAAATATTCAGATACACAAATGTATTTGAGAAAAAATTAGAGAATAACAATTTAGTAGCTATATTATCTACCAACTTTTTGAACACCTAGTGGCTAGTAGCATTCATGAAAATTGATAATCCAAAGTCATCGGTGTGTTTTTAAAAATGAAGTCATTATTATTATTTTATAATATCATTTTATACGTTAGATGAAAATTCATAATAATGTTATGTAAAACACACGGATAGTACATCTATGAATTTCATAATTGTGTTTCGTTGAAATAAAATTACAATTGTAGGTGCAATATTTTCATCACCTATGGTAAACGATATTTTTTTATCACATTGTTTATAACATTATAAGACACTTAGATCAAATATCTAGGATAATGCTTTAGAAATACGATCCGGAAAACCAGCACACATTTAGGAAATGCAAGACGTCATCGTGTCTCATTACTCTGTTAAGTTAGATTAGGCACACTGTCGTATTTCTCGAGTTGTATTTTAAACGTTGAATTTAACTATGGCTAAAGTAATAATATATATAATTTATGATATTTCCACTAAAATTCTCTATGTACGTACGATTTGCATAGAAACATTTTCAAATTTACACAACATAATTAAATAATTAATAATTAATATTGTTTCATATAATCCTTTAAATTTAACAATGTTAATTTGATTTTCGACTTCTTGAAACTGTCATTACGGAAATAACGGTAAATGCTTAAACGCAAGTAAATTGCATATACAGAACGCCTGCAGGTGGTGGAAAGAAAATCAACTCAGAACAACTATTATATTTTACGTAATGGATTTAAGAACAACGTGATATTGATAATATATTGATAACATTGATTAATTTTAACATTTAATTGTTTAAGTACACTAGCTGAACCCGTGCACTTTGTTGTCCGTAAAAAATCTCAACTCTTAAAAAAATTATGATTGTTCAACTCCTTTTGGGTGTAACTTGCTGCGGTAAGTGCAACTCATCCACTCTGGTAGGCAATGTTCAATAATTCGATTTGATGCTAGCTTGTACCTGATCTGCCCGAATAAACAATTCCAACCAATAATAAATAAATACTAATTTCTACCGTAGACTGTAACCGATGGCAACTATTAATAAATAAAAATAAAATTTCCAATTTCCATCGTTAGCCTCAATGTCCTTGTTTGAGAGCCTATTTAAAATGCGAATTTCGGCAAATCCTTTCTTATAGCAAGGTGAAAGTATGAGAAGAACCTCTATCCCAAATTTCAAGTTCGTACGTTGCGTAGTTTTTGAGTTACAGCGATCAGTGGCTAAGTGGTATTTGGATTTTATATGTATAGATAATATAATATGTGATGTACTATAAAATAATATCATTAATTTAAATTTTATATTATGATAAAATTAATATTCATTGATGTGGACATTAAACAGGTCCAACTTGAATACTGGCTACTATACTTTCTAGTAAATATTATCGTTAAATATGTAATTTACCGTAAATCCCACCAATGGCAATTGTATCTCTCCTTGTGCGTGGTCCCTTTGAATATATCCCACCGCCATAAGTCGAGTGCCAAGCTGAAAGGCAAAAATGTAAGCTTGTCCATCGCCAATCCAAACAAATAGTTTATGTTATGGGGAATGTCATCAACAGAGTTCAATATCAGTCCCAACGTTTGCAAATGCTTTGGGGTTGACACAGAGAGCGATATTGCCTCGCTTAGAGCTTCGTGGAATCCTTTAAAAACCAAAAATAATTTTGTATAATATTTTATTATTTGTGATCTAAATAAATTTAATAAATATACCTGGATTGGCACCATCACGATACACCTTTGGTTGTTTTTTGTAATTCAAAAAATATTGTACATGAGCCATTTCATGATGAACAGTGATAAAATCTTTCATATTGACTTGGGTGCACATTTTAATCCTAAAAAACATATCAAACTTATAATATGGGAGATAACAAAATCAAAAAATCAAATATCACGAAATTTACTTTTTACAATATTGTATTAATTATTTATTAATTATTAAGGCCTCATAAATCAATTTATCAATATACTTTAACATTTGTACTGAACTTGTAGCATTCAACGTTCATAATTAATAAGTAATTAATATAATTATCAACATACTATTGTTTATTTGTCAGTTATAGTTTAATTCTTATTTTATTTTGTTCAAATTATTCCAAAATAAAATGTCCCAACTTTAAACTTGACATTAAATAATAAGTTTTAACTAATAAGTAATGAACTAATAACCATCTATTTATTTTATTAAAATTTAAAATGTTTAGGTACAATAATTGTAATGTTTTTAAAATGAAAAATTCATTGCTTACAAATTAAAGTGAAAACTTTTTATATATGAAAAATACCTTTTAACAATTTTGAAATTTACAATATTTTTTATGATTGCAATAAGTAGGATAGAAAACTAGTTTTTAAATGATTATAGGTTTTAAATTTTACACTATTTATATTTAAAAATTAATACTTTTGAAGTTCTCAGAAATGTATTGATATAGCTAAATTTTACGACATTTTTTCATGATTTTTATGTTTCGTTAAGACAGTATAATCTCTTAGAATATTAAATACTTTTAGAATATTTAAGATAAAATTTTAATAAAATTGTATTACTGAGGTAATAATATTATTCTGTACATTGTTTAGTTAATAAGCTTTTAATTCTCATCAGCCTCTAAACTTGTTTGATTGTAACAATATAAAATAATAATTTACAAAATAGTTTCAAGTTTTAATTTATCTCCTAAATATTGTATATAAACGGTTATATTTGAATACATAATGTATTTATAATGGTTGAAATATGTACTAGATAGTATAGGTACCTATTCCACTAAAAAGAACAAAAAAATACATTTTAAAAAACATAAAATTGTTTTAAAATAATTAGTGTTCTTAGGTAAATAAAAATTTACCTTATACCTAAAATATTATGTTGTATACCTGTATAAATAAAGTATTATATATTATTATCGTCTTACATAAAAATAAAAATATTATAATAATAATAATTATAAAAATTAAAGATCACCCCGTTATAAATAAATTATGTATATTTATAATAAAGTATTATTATATTTTTATATATTTTATAATTTTCATAGATTTGTTTATCGATTAGAATATTTATACTTTCACTTTTAACTTTCAATTTGTATGATTATATTTATTTTATTTCCTAGCTGTTTCTGAACATTTCAATTGGGTCATTTATGGATAAAATGCATGAGAGCCTAACGTTTTATTTCCAAATATTAATATTAACCTATAATCTTGTCTGTTGCAAAAATCCCAAGCAGAAGGTTGACAAATTATAGGCTGTCCTGGAAGTTCCTCTACGACTGAATTGGCCCAAAAAGATTGAGGCATTGAACTCATGTTTAACGATATGAAAAATTCTTCTGCCACTCTAAACATTGCAGCTGGTGTGTATCCCTGCGAGTAAATAATATATAATATATTACTTTGGAACATTTATTTCGTACTTTTTATTTTAATACTAATATTATAATACGATGTATACAATCCGTTAACAAAATTAGTGCATACCTGTTTGATCATTTGTGGTGTAACATCCAAATAATTTTTTCCCGGATACGGTATGGTCAAGTCTAAAATATTTTCCCAAGACTGGCCCCACATGTTTCCTAAAGTCCATAGTAAATATTTAAAAAAAAAAAAAATAAATTATAAAACAAAATTACACCACTCAAATTATCCAATATTACAACCTAATGACATGTGCGGGCAATGGTGCGTCTCGACTTATTCTCTCGGGCCCATAGAGATCGCGTAACTTCTTTCTGACGTAGGCATGGAGTTGTTCGTATAGAGGTTTTATTTGTTCCCAAGCGTCTTCCAATTCAAACCTCATCGAGGGTGATTCGTAGGGAAATTTCCACATTTCAGACGCATCCGATACATCTATAGATAGTACATGAGTAGTAAAACATAATTCAATCAATTATTCAAGAGTGGCTGGAAACATAATTCAAAATCAGAAACGTACTGTTTAACAAAGCTGCTTGATTGCTAACATCTACTAGCTGTTCAAACATGTCTCTGACTTTTTGTCCTGTTCTCCTTCTCCATTCTATCCAAGTGTGCTGTAGTTCGTTCCAATCTCGACTCCGAGACCTAATCATATTCAAATCTAGAGTAAAAAAATCATTCGCATGTAACTACCTATGAATTCTGAAACAGTTTACATACCGTATCCAAATATCACTTATTACAAACACATACCTGGGTCTAACCTGAGACCACATTTCAACGGTTCGTCGAAAGCGCAAACAGAAGCGCTATTATAAACAGCTAACATGTCGTTTATGAGCCGGTTGTACTAAAAAAAAAATAAATATTAATTGTTATTATACGCGATTTGCATAATTTTACGTTTAGAAAAACGTATCCACTGAAAAAGAAATGTATTTAAACGAACTGAATTTACTGTATTTGTAATGAGATTCGAAAAATTATCATGTCTTTTGTTAGGAAAAAAACCCAAACCAAGTCAATGAAAAGATAGAATTGTAAGTATTTTGGAACACTGTTTCACTTTAACAGAAGTTCATGAAACTTAATATAACTGCGCACTATATATTATTATTATGTTATTAAAATATTCTTACTCGACTCAGTTGTTCTTGTGGTAGTGCAGCAGGTCCTGGCATTGACAAAAACTTGAGCTGCCTTCTTAGGTTGGGATCGATGACATTGTCCAGATTCAATCTTGTCATTATCGAAAATACTTTTCGTTGGAATTCTGAATACAACAATTGTTGCTCCAACTGCAACATTTTTCAATTTATATTTCACGGATTAATGAAATGTATTTAATATTTAATACATGAATAATTGTAAATATTTTATTTAGGTAGAATAATTTTAAAATATATAATTATTAATAATTTGTACTCAAATTCTCTGTGAATGTACTATTTGCATAAAAATATATGCAGATATATGTAATTTAAATTGATTAAATTTATCTTTAAATTGATTAATAATATTGTTTCAAATAATTTATTTAACAATGTTAATTTAATTTCGCGCCATCTCGAGACCGTTATAGTGGAAACAACGATAAATGCTAAAATGCAAGTAAATTGCATACACATAACGCCTGGTAAATGAAAATAAATTCATTGCGGAACAACAGTAAAGTTGTTACAGTTGCTACAGTTATTATTACTGTTATAACTTATATAATGCATTTGTATGGACAGGTTACAACATAATAATATCTTGATAAACATTGACTTATTGAATATTTAAATAAATATCACCTAAATTAATATCTCATTTAATTATATTTTAATTTATTTTATGATACAGATATTCATTGTGTGACTTGGCGTGGAGTGGTAGTTGCATTCAGTCACAAAACGTGTTCTGAGTGCAAGCACTAGCGTGTTACCAGTTCCCGGATGGGTGACCATCCGGACTTTTAGTGATAAATCCTTGCCATACATAAATACACGTGTTCCAATCCAACCGTATGCCCCCACCCTCACCTACAAACAGCTAATGGCCATAGTCTTCAAACTTAAATCAATAAAAAAAAATTCATTGACTATTTAATAATTTATCCGAATAACACAATACAAAAAAATATGTTTCATATTTCTACTAAAAATATTCAATAATTATATATGGATACCTATAACCATCAGTATAATCTTGTTTAATATATAATTTTTATACACACGATTTCAAATTTCCTTTATAATAAAAATACATATATGTTCTTTTAAGTTCTGAAGAATTTATTCAAATAATTTTTTTATCGGTCCTCCCCACACTCGTTCGCAAAATCACGTCAACGTTAAAATCATTAAGCCACTGACGGAAACATTACCTATACATAATTATACTACCCTATACTATTGTACCCCGACTTGTACATTATAATACTCTGAACGTTTTAGAAAGATAATCGTTGATCATGATATACAAAATGCACAACATAATATCACGCGTATGTCTTGTATATATTTATTCAACCGAACCGCTTAGGTATACATGTCTATATTATAATCTCTCGTATACGACGGGGAAGACAATATCTATCATATTATACTACGTTATACTACACACTCCGACAAGTACAGCTGTGACGTAGTAAATGATACGCAACTATTCGGACCACGCGCGAAACGGATATTACCAACTATAATATACTATAGACACCTAACCTAACCTATGATATACTCGCTTCAGTCCAAACACAGATTTCAAATATACCGTCAAGGCTGACCACGGGGTTCCCGTGTAATTTTGGTCAAGATTCACATACCTCTGGTCTCACGCTTATGGGACGAACAATGCGCCGTCGTAGCGGATAAAACGGAATAATAATATTTTCTAATCGTTACGCCACGGACGATGAGAGCTAACTTGATTTTGTAATTTCACGTTGGTATATATATATATTAGACGTATGCTATACGTACCATGTGCCTGTAATATATTGTTCGCGGCAAGGGACGAGTGAAATATTATTATAATAATATTATCATGTCAGGCAGGTACGACGAAATCGTAATCCTCATTTAGCGATCACCTTAAAAAAGACTCAGGACGTCGACAATTATTGGACGACGTCGGGTGTGAGATAATAGAAACAGAATATGACGTGCGCACGCGTTCATATACAATTTAATATTTATTGTGTAAAATGCGAAACGAGGATTATTAATGACCAGACATTCGCGTAACAAAAACGGTGGATAAATCTATATTTTTTACACACGCACGAAACCCCCCGCCAATTTTTTAACATGTGCACAGATTCCTGACCAAATAGAAAAAAATATCAATAGAATTATGTATTTGCAAGTAATTCAGCCATATAGTCGGGTGTCCAATGCGTTTTGTCGCACAACCAACCTCCGGAGAAGTAAAAAATTGTTGAGACGATACTGCAGCATAATATAGTAATATTATTATAATAATAGACTTTGGATTTTTCTATAGAGTTTGAAATACGTAGAACTCGTCGAAGGACTCAGAGTCCAATTAGAAGACAATGTCACCCTTATTATTGTTCATCGTGTAGACCGTAGAAAAAATTTGCGATACTTCAAAAAAAAAAAAAATATGTACACACCTAACATGTAATAAACTCTGTCGTATGTGGTATCAAATATTTTTATGTGTGTAAAATAGAATTTAGACATGTTTAAAAAAATAAGCGAAAAAAAAAACGTTATAAATAATATTATTTGTCGTTTCTTTTATAATATTATAATATTTTAGTATACTATATATATATAGGGCACTCACGCACAACAATGTCAAGGTTGTGCGTATACGTTAGTCATGCATATCCGTCCAACTGAATAATTGTCGGTCGGTCGTGTAGTGTTGTAAACAAATTTTGAATTACCGCTCCAAAATCGTCGTGGAAAAATAAAAATAACCACAAATCGTGAAGTTTTACCCGAGAAATCGCTGGACGTGAGTAGGTTTTACAAACGCGATGCGGCGACGACCTTCTCGTTCGGCGGTAGCTCGAGCGCGATATTATTCGCTTCTGGTCACCACCACAAAGTTTTATTGTTCAAATATAATTGTGAATAGGTATGTCGTAGACAACCTTATTAATAAAAAAAAAAAATAAAAACCACCGACGCCGTAGTTTACAATATTTCAATTATCGCAAATGTGTGATCGGGTCAGTATACACAATATTATTATACCATAACCTAGGTAATATACGATCTCGCTTGCGTCCTCCAATCGTCCATAAATCCCAATTAGCGTATGCGTACGATTGAGTTCCATAAAATATTAATTATAAACGATATCTAACTGATGCGATGTGTAAATTCGAGTTTGGACGTGTTGTAAAGTTACGACTCGACTGCATTATAATATTATATTATCGTTTAATAATTATTAATACCAGCTACATAAAGAAAACATTATCACGTGCTTATAATAATTATTTTAATAAAATATCGATATCATGAAAATATGCAATGGATGTAAAACATATATTTCGCGTTTTTGAGCATTTAACATTGCGGAGAATATTCAAAATCATCTCAAAACGCAGTTTTCTTGGTTAGGTATTACTTGCATTATTTTGACGGTTCGGCGTATCGGTTATTTGACAATATTATTTATCTTGATTTCATATCAAACGTGTTATTTAGAATTATATCTTATGATCATTATTTGAGACTTGAGTACTCAGCAGTTGATGTATAATGTCAGAAGTACCTTGAGGAAGTAGTAAACCTGACATGATATTATAATAAGTTAACATTTGACAGTTTAAAAATATTGAGGGAAAATGTATTTTCAATTCACTTATTATAATTTATAAGACGTAATAAGAACCTACAATACAAGTCAGGATTTAGTATAAGATCAAGAAATAATGTTTTAGTGAAGCGACAAATTCATATTAATACTACAATATTATTATTTTTATTAAGGGGCCCGAGAGCTGGTTTTTCACATTTTCCGCAATTCTGTAAAATTTGAAAATCATATTTTAGTTTCCACTTTAGTTATAATACTTTTCTACTAATCTACTACCCGATACCTATTTAAAGGGTGGGGGTTTTATATAGCGTATTATATCAACAAAAAAAATGACTTCACAGAAATAGTTCTCAGGCCTTGTACAATTGTCGGTTTTTGATAACTATTTTTTTATCTAAAAGAATAAACACAGGCCGCATTGAACTTGAATTTTTATTATATTTCAAATAATGGTATCCGTGATACAATTTGTAAAAAAAGCTAAAAGTTGAATTTTTTTTTTTTTAAGACATATTATACAGCTTGAGATTGGAATATTGAATATCGGATTTCAATTCGGCCTATAAAATATAACCCTCTATTAGTTAAAAAAAAAATTATCAAATTCAGTTGGTTCTATAGAACATAATCATTATTCCCTTAAAGAGTATTTTTTGTGGATAAAATACATTCACACCGTTCTATATGAAAAATAACTAATGAAATTAGCCTACACTAAATGCATAATCCTCATAAATCATAATATATAAAACTCTATGTATAAATGTAAGTATAGTAATATTACTATTATTAAAATTGGAAACTATAAATATTGTCAAGAGTATTTGTAAATTAATTCAATAATATATTTATCTATAGGTACTGAAATAATCAATTTTAATTGATAATTCTAATGTATCTAACATTTTAAGATACTGCGGATATACGATTTTTTTTTAATTAAATCGAATAAGGTACTTACATATTATTATTTTAAGACAGGGTATTAAAAAGTAATAATTCTTAAATTTTGAATTATCAATATGAGTCTTATAAGTTTGTAACGCATCATTACCAAACTATTTTAATTTAAAATAAAGGTCTAAAAAAGTATATAATATATTTATACATAACATTATGTACCAAATAATTATCTGTAATTACCTAATATTTTTATTCAAATAAATTCATAACTAACGTCTTTACTAGACCTGTTCCTCACTTAGGTAAACATTTGTTTTAAATTGTCAACAAAAAGTTCTATAATTTATGATAATCACCTACTCACGGTGTAATGAGATATATTGAATTACCTATATAGTATAGTTAATAATTGTCATAATCGTGCCGTAAAAAAAAAAATCACAAAGGTTATATTATAATAGTGTAGGTACAAGTTTTCCTATATTAATATAAATACCAATTCAAATGCAGGAGGTGAAATTGGTAATAAATCTGTTATACGTACATAATAATAGGTATACAAAATATACGTCAAATTATTATTATTATCAAATTATTTTTAGATCCGCTAATCTCGATATAATATGACTTGTTATTGATTTATCATAATTATTTGATGTACGAGTATTACAATAGCCTCGGTATAGATATATCAGAGATGTAGTAAATTACAAGCAATTTAAGCATATGCGACTATGCGAGTAACCGCATATTTTTCGATTATCCGTCAAAAATATCTCGTCGCCAACGTAGGAATCCAAACTCCAAATTTAAAAAAAAAAAATGTATATAATACCCAAGTCCTGGTTAAGTGGTACGTTACTATTATAAAATATTATTATGCTAGAAATTGTGTAACATAATATTATATTGATATCACGGCCGATATACCGTGGCATACTTATAATCGTAACGATAAAAGCTCTAAGTAATCGCAACAGAACCTACCGCTCTTATTTGAGTTCCCTCGTTGACGTTTGTCTCGAAATCCCATTGCGCCTGCACGTTGAGGTTGCACTGTTGCGATCCGGCCACGTCGAGCTGTTGCAGCAATTGCCGGATGTTGCTGTTGGACAGTGTCAGAGGTCCCTGTTGAATCGGGGGTGTCGGTAGAGGTGACACCCGCGGATCGGTCCGGGACGTGAACCTACCGGAAGTCTCGAAATTCTGTTCTGGTTCATCGGTAGTGAACTTCCGGCCACTCCGCTGGAACCCTTGCTGCTGCTGCTGCTGTTGCTGCTGCTGCTGCTGCTGTTGTCGCTGTTGCTGTTGGAATATCCCGTCGAAACCGGTCCGTGGTTGCTGATCCACCTGTTGTTGCTGCTGCACAGAGTACCTGCACCAGAAGTCAAACTTAGATTATTGTAGTCGATATATTGTACAAAAATTGAATATAAATAGATACAGTTTTAAATGGATGGGTAAGCAAGATCTAATTCGTAACAATCGACTTAAAATCAAAAATTTGGTTTTTGTCTATATAGGTATTGTATTTAATTTATATTTATAGAAAGCAGTACCAATAAATGTACATAATATTCTACACGAAATGTGAAATAGAAGTTACACAAGTTCTCTTTTGTAAAGATCGATCATTTTTTCAAAAATATATGAAAAGTATACACTATACATATTATATTAATAATAAATATATAGTGTTATATATAATATTTATTGTCACACTGTTTGTAAGTTCACAGGATATAACATTGTATGGTACGCACCTGTTGAACGCGTCCTGCAGGATGCGACGTCGGTCTTGTAGATCTCCACCGGCCAGAAAATAATCGTTGGGATCCAAGAACTTGTCGTCCACCCGGTCGGCCTGGCATCGGGCCAGCCTCGCGGCCGAAAGGATTGTCGCCGAAACGACAAAGATCGTCCCCAAGGCGTTCATGTTATATCGTCGGTGGAAAACCCGACGAAAATCGGCTGCTGCGATTATACGATACCTTCAGATTTTTTTTTTTACCAAGTTAAGTTCCCAAGTAAACTATTGCGAAGGGTTCTCTCGTTTTCTATTATATTTTGTAAACGTGATTGTCGGCGAAAAGAAACTTTTTCAAAAAAAAAGACGGGTCATTCGGAACGATACAAATTCCGTCACACAAAACCGAACTAACTACGCGACCACGGTGATGTTCGGACTGGTGGCAGACAAATCGTGCGCGTTGCATATATGAGGCGGCCTAATGAGTCGTACTGATAACGACGGCGACGACGACGAGGAGACTTGAACGCCGCCGCCGGGCTTCCTAATAATAATAATAATAATAATAATAATAGTAATAAAACAACGGTCTGGCGTAGGTGGGGAAACGATATGTGTATTATATACACAAGACGATTCTCCGCAGGACGGCGGCTCGCCGTGTCGAAAGTTCGCCTTGAACCGCATAATAGCATAATATAATAGTCAACGAGATCTGCCGACGAGAAGTGGCTCTTTTTTTTTTATTAGTTGCTTGTCTTTCAAAACACAACACGCGAAGACATAATAATATTATATTGTAATAAAAATATATAGAAACGTCAGAAAATGTATTTTCGGAATATTGACATATTACAATGACGCATATTGTCTGTGTTTTTTTCACGCAATATTATCGATCAATTAGACTGTCCATCATTATACTATCATACATAGTACTCTGGATTCACATTTCCTGATCCGTATAATGCCTATGCGTTAACCCCGTTGACCGCATTAAAACGCGTGATCATCGAACATGTACACCTACCGACAATAATGTATAATATTTTATAATAGGTACCTACTATAACAATATAATAATATAATACGCCCGAAAGTCTGCCTGCACAGACCACAGTGTCGTGCACGTTAGTTTTCTTTTTGTCGATTTATATTATCATATAAATGAACAATATCATGTTATTATTGTATACTAATGGTCAGAACATAATATTATAATAGTACCTATATTATAATATTATATATACAATTCAACGGATGACTGGAATGATATTCGTTTCGTTTTCATTTAAGGTTTAACTTGTATACTGTCCACTATAAGTGCAGTACCAAAATTGTAAATTGTTGTTTTTAGTCTTAAGATAATATTATATTATTGTCTCAACTCCTCATACGGAATCCAGCAGCATTTTTACCTATGTTTCATTTGTTTAGGTCAACATTATAATAATATTATGTCATGTAATTATAACATGACATAATCGTATTACGATCTCAGTTGTTGTGTTTTTGAAAATACATTACTGTGTTAATGAATAAAAAACTAATGCTCTTAAAACTTTTTTACAGACGACCAAGTACTATCAATAGTACTAATAATAGGTACTTACAATTACGACATACCATCGTCATTATTATTAGAATATAATGCTTACATAGGTTATAGGTAATTATGTGTATATTAATGGATCAAATATTTTTTTATCATGCACATAAAATAATGGAACTATAAGAGTCATTCTTATAAATATTACCAAGAGCTATAAGTATACGTACGACGATTGAATACATGATTGGATTACCTACTCACGTATTATTATAACTCACAAAATTCAGAATAAACATCATAATATTAAGGTTATTGCTCAATTTGTTTACATCAAGTCAGAATTCATCTGTAATGTATACAGAGTGATTTATTTAACTGGCTGTACTAATTTTCTAAGTCAGTTAGGTATTATTACAGTGTTTGTAAAAAAATATAATATCTTTTATAATATAAATAGAACATTTTTCATGAGTTATAAACATGATTAGGTACTACTTTTTGTCTTTTTATCATAGGTAGTAGATGTCAAGTCTTGTCAAAGGAAGATTGCTCTGGACAGGACATGCAATGAGGAGTCAAAACTCATTACTAAGAATAAAATACCCCTGGGAAGATCTATCGAGGGGGGGGGGGGTGCAGTGAAAAGGAACGTGGAAGCATTAGGAGGCTGATCAAACTGGAAGACTCTGGCACTGGTTAGCGAAGGTTGGGGAATTGTAGGCTGTGGGGCGGCCCTATAAGTGGCCGAACAAACACGAAGAAGAATAGATGTAAAGGTTTTGAAAATCATTCTTTTTTTACCTTAGTGAGCTACGTATGATACACATACTCGCATCTCATTAATATTATCAATATGACTGTATGACAATTAAAATCAACCGCAGCCCGGAGTTAAATGGATCACTCCGTGTACATCAGTAGCGTATCCAGAATTTTTTTTCGGGTGGGGTTATAATTTATTTTTGTGGAATTTTATCTTAAAATGATTTATTAATAATAACGATGTTATAATTTAACAATTTTCGGGGGGGGTTACAACCCCCAAACCCCCCCCCCCCTGGATACGCCACTGGTGTACATTATTATAATATATAATATATTGTGAACTCATGCGTGTCTAATATACACTTGTAGGTAACCACTCGGTTACTCCGAGATTATCCTGGTGCGGATAGATGAATAATGATAAATATTACAATCGTTGTCCGTACTGTTCGCATAGGTTATAGTTTCACAGTATTTCAAACAATATATTATATTGCGTATTATTATATCGCAGTGCGGTTCGATAAAAATACAGGAAACCCGATACCGTGTCGTCGGGGTAGAAGCTGTGGGAGGGCGGGGGTTCGCTGGGACATTTCCAAGTGGCTGTCATCGAGTCGATCTGCAGGTCACTGTGGTAATATTATGCGTCTTATACTTTTTACGGGCGATCTGCCGATGCCGACGGAAATATAGGGTTATTTGAAGAGAGGCGATGGCGTATTTCGGTGAGGACAACAATATAATCAAACGAAAATCAAGAAGAAGACGCGAGGACGCGCGGCCGCGTTGATTTATGTCACAAGGCTACTTTGCAGTGAAAATGACGAAAGTCGAAGCTATATTATACGATCGTATAACAAACGCAAGAAAAAAAGGCAAGTAAACACACACATAATAAATAATAATATAATACACACGACGGATTCTTTTTATTTCGTTGCTTGCGTTCTCGGGTCACAAGAAGAAGGTCGTCATAATAATATTATATGTTATAATATACAATACGCTTGGCCCGGTCCGGTCTGTGGGAACGTTTCGACGATTGTACTCGGCTTGAGGAGGACGCTCGTGCACGAAGGTCTGTGATATGGAAATCGCGGACGTGGTTCTCATGATAAAAAAACGTTCTGCTCGATAGTGTTATTATGTTGTGTTTGCAGTGCGGGTTTTCCGTGGCAAATGCTGAATCATTTTCCAGCTTTTCTCGGCAGCCGGGAACCGGGAAAAACGACGGTACCTACTGCAGTATCCCGACTTATACCGCGGACGCATGCTATTATAATAATAATATATTGTCGTCGTCGTAGTGCGTGGAAAGCAAAACAGTGCATTGTGTTATTGAAAACTGTTTTCACCGACAATATTATTACCTATGGGTAGGTACCTATAATTGCCCAAAAACGGAGCAATACAGACTGCACCGATTTTTACTTTTGCTTATTTTCGAAAAGTATCGCTTTGTCATCAAGGCAGAATACGACTTGAATATTCTTGTAGGTATATACTAATATAATATTATATATATATATATAGTATAGCTGGTGTTGGCCAATACAAATAATATAATATGTAGACAAACCGTTGAAAGTCCGTTAAAAATTACACCGCCTATCGGATATATTATTCATAATATCGTTATAAAAAATAAAATAATAAATATATTTTTGGAGCTAATAGATGCCTACAATACATATAGGTATGTTGTGTGCAGTTTGTGTGATATGGTGATCAAGTAATAAGCAGTTGAAGAATGTAGGTACCTACGTAATAACTTATACGATACAAAAACCAAATGTAAGTGCAAATTGTATGCGGTTAGAATTTTTCTTTCTTATGTATTATAAGGACATATTTTTGCTGACGATATATTATTACTGACTATTATAATTTATAATTCTAATCGTAAGTGATGCTGATTTGACTTAACCGGTATGTAAATAATATCTATATACCCACGTCCTTAGTGAGTATTTTTTTAAAGTTTACGTTAATGTTTTTATATAGTATAGTGTAGTACTAAGTATAGAGTATACTATATCTAAAAATTCAATAATAGATAAACGCTCTCATTATATCATTTACAACTAAATATAAAATTCAACAATAAAAAAAATAACAAACATTTGAATTTTAATATGTACAAAAATTACGAATTTGCCCATATCTACATAATATGATAATAGGTAAGACAATTGACAAAATATATTATATAAATAAATACTACTTATTAGTACTGTATAGCAAATGGTATCTACTAACGGTGGCGTATAAGAGGGCGTTTTGACTTGTCGAGGGAGGGCTGTACCCCATGAAATATTTAGAAAATTAAAAATATATTTCTATGTTCTATGAAAGTTACTGGAAATACATATTTCCATAGACGTACAGGAACCGAAACCTAAAATAAAACCTCGAACATCAGTACCTATGCTAAACTTATGGGAGACCTTATTCAAACCAACTCTGTGTAAGCACATTATTAGCCCCCCGCCCCAACCCTATAAAAAAAATCCTCGCTAATCCCACTGCCTGCCAAGTAAGATTTATACGCTTGTTTAATAATATTATTTCGTACGAAAGATTTTCGTTATCCCGCGTTGGCTTATCAAACCGAATGTAATAATAAACGTAGCTTATAATAGTTGTCCCCGAAAGAGTGACATATTTACTTGTAGGTACTAACTACAATATAACTACTATCTAAGTGTCTACAAGTGCACTCAGTTTTCCATGTGTTGTCAAGCACGTTACCGACTGAATTGTCCGATAGTCAATAAAATACAACATTATAGACCACTCTATTAGTGTGATGTTAAATTTTTACTGTATTATACGTAAGTATAAAAAACTACAAATGTGTACGAAA